AAAATGTAAAAAAGTTAAAAGGATATGAATACTTCTGCAAGGAAATGAGGATGAGTTTAAAAGAGTTGTTCTAAGATTTTCCATTGCTGTTTGTTTTTCTGTATAACTTTCAGTTTCATTCAAGTTTTAGGTTATTCAAAACAACCCTCAGTACTTTTGTTTCTATTAATATTTTGTAAACTTTAGATCAAAGGGATGATTCTGGAGCATCGAATTGTTTTAGTGTGTCTGTTTTACCTTTAATAGGAGGTTGTGCCTTTTAGGTAATTATAGCAAAATGAAGAGATAACATTTCTTGCTTTTCTCTTTTGTTATTCCTGTTTAAAAACATTTTCCTCTGTTTTCTGAAACCAGACTGGGAACAGGACAGATAATTTCCCTATTATCACCTCTAAAAATAAATTTACTGAGAAAAATGGTTGCATGTTCAATACTTATTTTACATACTGTATGTATTTTTGGAAGAAACCCTGTTCATGAATGCAAAAGATTCAAATCTGGGATGGCAGTTCTCCTAACATTAGGTCAGAGCTACAGTTGTTTGGCTTTGAAGTATATTTATCTGTTAGAATAAGAAAGTCAAAGTCCAAACTTAAGTCCTTTTAATAATTTGTGTTATGACTTGAAAAATGGTGTTCATAGTGCTATGTGTTTCTGAATCCTTACAGATTTGTTATGTTTTAGTATTTTGCCATTCTTAAATGACATTCATCATGTCATAAAAATAGTATTAGGCCAACCCGATCAAATGCTAAATGCATTTCCAAGTGATAATGTCACACATTCAAAGACAGTTGTATTAACCAACATGCACCATTTATTGAATCATGCATAAATGGTGATTGCGCACAAAATAAAAGGTCTGTTTCAATAGGTTTCTCCAAGCATATTATTGAAAAACTGATTAATCTTGAAATTACTTGAATAGAATCAGCCTGATATTATGAAGTAGAATGAAAGTTATTTAAATAAATGACTAAATAACACTATGTACTAATTACCCCACATGGACTAAAAGTGTTTTTAAGATTTCTAAATGTTTTTTCATTGTGGGAATCAAATATGGTGGTACTGGAGTGGTTTGGAATTGCTTTGCTGCTTCAGGACCTTTATAATTTGTTGTAATAGAGGGACACCATAGTTCTGCTCTTATGTTCAAGTTTTCTGTTGTTCTGCAGGACAATGAGCAGAACCACAAAAGCGAATCTAAACTTGAAAAAACAACAAACAAAAAGAAATAAAATAGAATCAAGGTTTTGGGGAAACATTCACCCTTGAAATCTCTCCACTGCGAAACCAAGATGGGACAAATTTTATTATTATCGGTTTTACAGCCTGATCACAACCTGTTTCTCATTTTAGAGTGTTTTATTGGTGTATCTTTGCTCAGCATGATTAACAGCTGTAAAAGTTTTACATTACAAAAGCTTAAATGTACTCAAATACTGTAGATCTCAGTGTAAAAGCATCAAAAACATAAATAAGTGGAAAATAATCCCAAAAAGAAAAGTTCAGAAAAATTACAAAGAAGACATTTCAACCAGAATTTTATTGCACCAGAATGTATTCAGGTTCTAGCCACATGGATCACAGGTTACTCACAGTTGTCTCCTCTTTAAATACTTTATAATCTTGTGCCTCAAACAGGAGTTCCATAAAAATGTACCTAAAAATCACTGGAATGCTGTTTCTACAAGCTGGGAGAGCAACATATGTTTGACTGACACGATGCAGAGAGATTACAGGTTTGTGCCATCCACTGCCCAAGTCAGAAGTAAAGGTCAGTGGAACATATTAGGGTAGCGAGGTCAGCTAGCAATTATTTATAATAAAAATAATTGAGTATTCAATGATGGTTTACAAATGTGTCAGAGTGCATATCAGCTTCTCCTATTTTACTTTTTTGGTACCAATCGCAAAAGACTCAGCATATAGGCCAAAAAAATCAGATTTGGGTCATTTCAGGCTGGGGTGTGAATGTAGCCTTTTAAACCCCCATCTCAGTTCTTTTATCTGGCGAAGGGAATATAATATCAGTTAGAAAACTGTTACATATCTTGTTTTTGTCCTTCTTAACCTTCATTTATGAGTTTCTACTCATATCTTCATTGCAGACTGCTGTCATTTTGGTCCTTAGCTCTGTTTGAATGGAGGGGAGGAAGTTGTTGTGGAAGGACGCCAGGGCGGCAGAAGCTTGGTTTTGTGTAGAAGGCTTCTAGCCGTACTTGTTTGAGCCCTTGCCTCGCAACGCTGCCAGTTCTGTTAGCTCTACACCTGCCGAAGACACAGACGTCCATCCCCATGAACACTGGGACGGAACTCAATGGTAAAGGAAATGATTCTTATATCTTAAGGCAATCATTGCTTATATTAGCTGCCACATATCAAGATGCTATGATCGAAAAAATGTGATTGACAGATGACCATTTATACTGTATATGATTGGCCAAATTTAGGTGTACAAGCTGACGTATAACTAACTTGCCTGCATAAGATAACGGGGAAAAAAACACAGATTTTATAACAGGATTTTTTTTTTTCAGAAATTTATTAACTTTTGGTACAAAATCATCTGATACATTTGTATACATATTTAAGCCAGAATGATTCGAAATTATAATCTGATTTACAACATTCTGATCCTTTCAGTGATTCGTGTACTAACAAAAAAAGTTTAAAGGCAATGCAGGAAGAGCTTATTTGTATAGCACAGGTTAGAACAAATACAATTTAAAGTGCTTTAAATGAATAAAAAATTTATTTAATTAAACAATAAAGCAGAATAAAAGCCAACCAAGGTAAAAACATGATAAAAACAGGTAGTTGGACAACAAACTAAAGCTAAAGACATTTAATAGTTTAACATTGTCAAAGACATTCCTATACAAAGGGGTTTTTAACTTCACTGATGGATTCAAAATCAGTTATTTCAAATGCTTTTTTTGTCTGCCAAGTATGTAATAAGCTGCTCCTGCATGTGAGCAAAAGCAGCTTGCTTACGTATCATTACAAATATCCAAAAATGAATAATACTGGCAGAAATCCTTTCAGCTGCACAATAAACCACAGAGGCAGGAAACAGGATAAACAAATAGAGGAACTAAAGTTCTCTTAAAAAGTCATATGTAAATAAGTCTAGCAGAGTCACTTGTAATTATTATATATGTTTGGAAGTAAAAAAAAAAAAAA